AAAAAAAAAAAAAAAAAGAGGAATAGTTGTGATATTCCTCACCAGCTGTAGCAGCTTCCAAGGCTTGTCCTGTTTTCCTCTTCACCTTTCCTCTTTCTGCATTTGAGAGCCAAGTATTAAAGGATTAAGACATTGAAATGCATGTGCATAGGTGGAGGGTTTTGGAAATCATTGTGCATGCTCAGGGACAGGGTAGGCTCTGAAAAGACTTAATAAGCACTTAAGTTTACATTGCAGGCTGATCCCTGAAACAAAGACACCTGACCATAGACAAAAACAAAAACACAATCTGCCTGGCAAGCACAACTTCGTCCATCCCTGATACTTAGAGAGAGAGAGAGAGAGAGAGAGAGAGAGAGAGAGAGAGAGAGAACAAAAATATAAAAAAAACAAAAACCTGGAAAATGAAGGAGTGATTCTAATTTCCAGTATTATGGGCTGGGATTTAGCTCAGTGGTTCCGCCACCTGCCTCACAAGCACAAGGGGCTGAGTTCGATTCCCAGTACCAAAAAAAATTTCCAGTATTATAATATACAGATGTTCTGGTTTAAAGAACAACTATAAAATCACAGGCACACAAAAGAACAGGGAGATATGGCTCATTCAAAGGAAAAATACAGCAGATGGCAGACTTACTAGATAGACTCCAAAACCTGTGATCAAGGAGCCAAAGCAAGACATGTAAAGTCTGCAGGAACATGATGTATAAACAAAATAAAAATATCAGCAAAAAGATAAAAACATGAAAGCCAAAAAGATATTCTGGAGATGAACAGTATAATAAGTGAAATGAACAATTTTCTAGGCAGGTTTGAGTAGGCAGAAGAAAGACTCAATGAACCTGAAGATAGGACTATGGAGTCAGTCATTAAATCTGTGGAGTACAAAGAAAAATGGTCAAAAAAAAAGTTAACAGAGCCTAAGAGAACTGCAGGGTGCCTTCTATCAAATCAATATACACACACTCTGAGGGTTTCAGAACAAATAACATAAAAAGAGGCACTGTAATTATTTGAGGTAATGGCAGAAAATACACTGAATTTGAGGCAAGACGTGAATGTATACATCCAATAAGCTCAAGGACCTCTGGGAAAGTTGAGCTCAAAGAGTCTGATATTGCAAGGTCAGTGTAATCAGTCTCTTCAAAGATGAAGACAAGACGGGAACATTGAAAGCACCAAAAAAAAAAAAAAAAAAAAAAAAAAAAAAGCCTTGTCACATCCAAGGGCTGCCCAGTAACATGAGCATATTTCTCATCAGACACCTTGGAGGCCAGAAGGCAGTGGGTTGTTATATTTAAGGTACTGAAAGGAAAAAAAGTCAGTCAAGATATGGAAACTTCACAGAGTAAAAAAAAAAGCTGAGGAAGCCATTACCACTAGAACCATAAGATGTGCCAGAGTGAGTCCTTCAGGGTAAAACTGACAAGAAGCTACAAAGGACATTGAAGCCACATGCAGTAGTAAGGGGTATCTGGGAAAGTGAATGTACGGGCATTTTAAGGCTAGTATTCTTGTGATTTGGGATAATATTCTAATTTTAGTTTTATATGATTTCAAAGGGAAATACATGGTAATAATTAGGGTAAACTAGAGGGTACAAATTGGATAAAGACATAATTTTTTTTTTTTTTTGGAACCGGGGATCGAACTCAGGATCTAGTGCTTGCAAGGTAGGCACAGCACCTGAGTTAAACCCCTGGCCCTATAATTTTTGACATGATTAACTAAAAGATGTACCTGTATCGAAGAAGAATTTTCATATGCTATTGATGTTAAGTTTGCACAAATTACAAATACAGTATTATAATTAAGGATGTTAAATGCCATTTCTAAACGTGCCACAGAGAAAATAGCTGTAGAATACATCAAAAAGATGTAAATTAGAAATTTTCAGTATAAAAAATAAACCTGAAAGATGATATTATTCCAGAAAAAAAGGGCAAAATTTATAAGGCTTTTAGAAATAATACAATGGCCTAAGCCCAACCTGTGGTGCCGTTCCAGAATCCCAGGTGCCGCCTCTGCCAGGGTTAATCAGCGCAAGTCCTGTCCCTCCTGCTTCCGACTTTGAGAAAGGAAGCTGGGCTTGTTAATGACAAGATCCCAAGATACGTGCCAGGGCTCCTTGGCAGCACATATACTCAGGCCAAATGAATCTCTGAACCCCGCCTGTGAAAGTTCTCCCGGTTCCCGCGCCCCTTGGATGAAATAAAGAGACGGGACCACGCCCCCCACCCGTCGCTATTATGCCTCTTCACGATAACCCACCCTGTGTCCCCCGGGGTGCACTTTTATTTTTCTTGTTAATTTGTCACTTTTGTACAGTCTCAGTTCTCTCTGCAGAGCTAGTTTCTCCCTTAGCTTCCATCTTCGCTTTTTCAAATGGACTTTCTCACCGTTTTTTTTTTTTTATGTTTTGTTCAAGTTTTTTTTTTTTTTTATTTTTTACAAGAAGGTTCTGGAAACTAGGAGGTGAGCCAAACCAAACCTAATTAACTTCTTTTCACGAGCCTTTCTAAAAATAGCTCCCTGGATCACCGCAGCCAGTGCGAGGCTTCGCCCTCGCCTGGTCTTGTCCCCGCCCACTCACGGGCTCCCCGGCTTTAAGAGGCTTCCCAATTGTTCCCGGGGTAACACCCGCTGACCCCCCCCTTCCCCGGATTGTCAGCCAGTTCCGGCCCATTTAGGTTTAGAGTCCGGCACCCCATCGATTCCTTCTCCACCCGGGGATGGGTCTGTCGTGCGTGTTTAAGGGAATCCCTCCACCCACAGGATCAGTTCCGGCCACAACTTTTCCAGGGCCCCGCTCCAGCTCCGCGCGGACAGGGTCCCGGTGGCCGGCTAGAGGTGGGAGGGGACCGCGCGTGGCCAGGTCTCCCTGACTCTAGATCGCAATCCCGGTCCGGAAGGTGTTCAACGCTGTGGCCCGGGGCGCCGCCTCTTCCCACACGCCCTTCCGGGCTCTCGCCCCGAGCCCCCAGCCTTGCTCACCCACCAGCTGCCACAGGAGAAGCGGGGTCCAGTTCATCCAAACATGCGCTCCGGGTTCGCCCTTTGGAAACCGGGTGCACACACCAACCCTGCAGTCTGCTGCTTCCCGACTTCACCCTCTCTGCTGTGTGAGGGCAGACAGTTCGCAATCCTGGGCTGTAACGAGACTCTACAGGTATAGGCAGAAGACTCCAGCCCCGCCCCAGCCCCACCTCTCCTGCGGCCTTCTTTTGCCCTCAGGAGTTACAAGTAATCTGTGTTTCTCCAGCGTCCTAGGGAGGAGCGCAGCCCTCCAAGCCCAAACACGGCAACGCTGTTTGTACTAGGCCACTGTGCTCAGGACAAGTCTTTACCATTTTTGTCATTTGTAGCAGAAGAAACTTCACTGCTGTCTTTAGTTTTGTTTTTGTTTTTGGGTACCCGGAATCAAACTCAGGACTTTGAGCTTGCCAGGCAGGCATTGCTACATCTTCCCCCATCCCCGGCTCGTCAGTATAGTAGTGTTTCCCCTCGAACTGCTTTAAAACCACAAAAAAGCCTGATGTGGTGGTGCAAACCTGTCACCCTGTTCTCAGGAGGCTAAGGGAGGAGGATTTCTGGGAGTTCGATCCCAGTCTGGGCTAGTCAGTTCTGGACCAGCCTGAAAACATAGGAAGACCTTGTCTGAAAAACAAAAACAACAACAAACAAAAAACTTTTTGGGGTTAGAGATTTACCTCAGTGGTAGAGCACTTGTCTAGCAAGCATGAGGCCCTGGGCTTTGGTCCTCAGTGCCAAAAAAAAAAAAAAAATGTTTTTAAGACCCACAATGATGCTGTTTTCTTTATATGAAGGCATCACTACAGCCCCTTGTATTTCCTAAGAAATAATTACAGAACATGTCAAAAAAAAAAAATGCTCCTCAGGGTGGGGGATGTAGCTCAGGGGCACTGGGCCTGCCTGGCAATCACAAGGTTGTGAGTTCAATTCCCAGCACTGGGGTAGGGGGAAGCTCTACATTCCTGGCCTCCGTGGGGACATAACTTTGGAATTAACACATAGCATTTTCTCTCTGTGTGCCATGAGCCCCCTCTTTGGCCACAGGCCATCAATGCTTGATCACCAAGTGTTCTGTGGCAGCACTGCCCTGTCCTGTGGCTCATCAGCAACTCGAGTAGGCTGTGTTTTTCTCCTAGTCTTCCTTTGTCACCTTGATGGAGGCTGTCAGGGACCACCTTGGGGACAAAGAAACAAACGGCAGGTGCCTCCTCTGGGGCCTTAGCTTAGGGCCAGTTACCCATTGGAAGTATGATGTGTTCTTCCCTACCCCTCATTTTTCCCAACTGTCTCATTGACCTAAAAAGCCAGAGGCAATATTAAACCAGGATACCTTCACTCCCGAATCTCAAAAAATAAACGAGATGAGAAAATGAAACTCTGTCCTACTAAGGGATGGAGTACAGATAAACTCTAGGACCCTTCACCTGTTACTCAATAAAAGTATAATGTGTTCTTATTCTATTATAGCAAATATAGCTCACAGTGTTATAGCTTTAGGTGGTATAACAGTCAGGCCAAGAAGAATCAAGTTCATACCCTGGAAGCTGGAAGCAGGTTTGTTCCACCAGTGAACTGATAGAGGACTTCTCCACAAAGCAGTCAGACCTGTCTGGGTTTATATAGATTTGGGGAGGGGTGAGGATACAGTGGCACTTAACATTAGATCATTGGTTGAGGTAGATACATTCAGCTAATACAACTGGATAGAAAGGTTCACTAGGATTCATCTTATTTACATACGGAAGGAAGCAGAAGTCTCAGAAACTCTACTGAGAATAAAGAATGGAGGAAAACATGTCCAGGCAAATCTGAGTGAGACCGGTGACACATTTTAGGTGTGGGAGGGGTCAGAGCTAGGAAGAGCCTTTTGCTTGCTACTTGGTTAGCTGTAGCACTGTCTTCTGGTCAGAAATCATTTCCCTGTTCAATTCCACCCCCCTCTACCTATGTGTTCTCTTGAGTAGACAGTGACCTTCTTGGAGATATGTAAAAGGGGTGCTCCAGTCTTAATCCATGATCAGTTTCCCACTAAAAGGGAAGATGTGTCTTTCCCACATTGTCCCTTGCCAACAACTTATGAACTGCATACTGCTCTTGCTCCCTTACTTTCAGTGGAAGGACCAGGTGCCCTGTAACAGCCAGGGGACACTAGAATGTTCCCAAGGGGGCAAGAATAACTGCTAATCCAAATCCTACATGAGACAAAATTGACTAAAGCACAAGCAATAAATAAAAAAGTCCACCCTCATGACCCAATGGAAAGTAAACTCTAGTCCACCCCAAGACCCCCTAAAAGGTTGTCTCTTTCCTGTGTTATTTTCAAACCTCTGAAGAGCCCTTGTCTGCTCTTCCTCTTAAGCGGAGGTCCTTCCTTATTTTCTTTTCCTTCCAAATTAAACTTCTTGCTTGTAAATTCATGCTATTACCTCAGTGTTAATTTCCCTTAACACCAAAGGGTTTTCATGGATTTCTAGATAGTCAACCATGAATATGGTCCCTTAACAGTAACAATGACTCTTCCTGGTTGTTGGTTTGGAGGATCATTTGTTGGTTCTTTTTCTGAAAACCCTGGATTGTTTGGGGGAGTGGATGATTAATATCTGTTATGTGCATATAGGAATCTGCCAAAATGAAACGCATTACTCTGCACAATCAGTATGCATTCATTAAAAAAGATGTAAAGGGAAAAAGAACTCTGGATTGAGTCAGACCTTCTGTGAGTGTGGAAGTCCAAATAATCAGAATAGAGATTGTTCAAAAGACTAAAATTGAAATTCCATTCATCCTAGTTATTCCTTTTCTAGGTGTTACATTTTCCTTGCCTCAAGATGGCTGCTACATAAAACACTAGCCTCCTTCCCATAATGCTCTGTGCATTAAAATGGGTGCCACAAGGAATAGCAGCCTGCATGTTAAATATGGCTTCTTCTACCAAGGGACAGCCTTCATCCATCATGCCTGTCTTCATGCTAAAAGAGTAATCAGAATGACCAGAGATGTCACAAGCCCCTCCTAGTGATACCATAGCCTCCTCCAATCTCCTAATGCTACCTCACTCCACTCCACTCCAGCTCAGGTTAACCCCACTCCACCCCTATAAAAGAAGCTCCTTGTTCCTCCATGCTGCTTTTCCTTTGTTAGGAGACAGCCCAGCAGATCCTCCCCAAAATAAAAGTTTGTTGTAGTCATGGTCTGGTCCTGCTTTTTTGGCTCTTTTACCTAACAGTATCTTTCTGAAAGAGTTAAAAACACCATATTACAGTAATACATGTATATCCATGTTTATAGCACCACAACTCATGATGGCTAAACATCTGATCAAAAGATAAAATTAAAATATAAACAAATAAAAACTCTGGAGAATTAAGAGATGACTCCAACTTCCAGTATATAAGATTCAGATATCCAGCTTCAACAACAAAAAATCAGAAGGCATACAAAAAAAAAAAAAAGATGGCTCCTTCAAAAGAAAAACACAAATTGATGGAAAATGTCCCGGAAAACCATAGCAGACTGCTAGAGAAAGTGAAGTCTAAAACCTCCATCAAACAGCCAAAACAAGGCGCATAAAGTCTCCAGCAACATCCTTATATGAACGCAATGAAAACAGCAGAAAGATAAAAGCATGAAAAGAAAGTCAGAAAGACTTGGAGATGTACGATACAATGACTGAAATAACAATTTTACTAGAGTGATTCAAAGGCAGATTTGAGAATGCTGAAGACTCAGCAAGCTTAAAGATGGGACCGTGGAATCAGTGATTCTGAAGAACAGAAAGGAAAATGATTAAAGAAAAGTGAACAGGATGGTACTGTATCATACCTCTGTGAATGTAAAATATCTTGTACCTGCTTTATGATACATAGTAGTGACTGTGCTTTATCAGAGCTATTTTTAATGATATTACTCTAGAATGTTCTCTTTCCAGATGATGATTAAGATGCTAAAAAAAAAAAAAAAATGGTGCCAGGAAGCACAACAGCAACAGAACTTTGCTGTTTTCTGGATATTATTCTTCTCTTTGTTTTTTTGTTTTTGTTTTTTTAATGGAATGTGCTGAATGTCTGTAATTTGTTCAGATAACTGCAGAACCTGGAAAAGCTGTTGCTGCTATTGATGCATAACATACTGCTATTATTGGTCTTTTTATATAAATATATATATATATATATACATACATATATATAATTTGAATTTTTGTCAACTTTGGAAAAAGTTATCCCAATTTACTGTGTTGAGTTGGCATCGTACAGAAATTGACAGCCATATTGGTCTAGAAATATTAATTTATATTTAAATTTAAATTTAATTTTATTTTTTTCCATTTGTACAGGGGTAACGCACTGTATTAAACAGGTAAGGTCATATCTACATGGGTTTGATT